AGATGTCTCTTATGCCATACCATTGTGTTGTGAGTGGGACAGTATAACCAACAACCACCATGACTCGTGAAATCCAGCAAGTGGCCGTGATCGGTGCTGGCATTAGCGGTGTCGTCTCCGCGGCCCACCTTCTTGCGCACGGGATCGACGTCACTGTCTTTGAACGGAACCATGCAGCAGGTGGCGTTTGGTAATCCCTCCTCGTTCAGTGGTGTGTCGAGCAACCGGGATCTAACGACTCCATCAGGCTTCACGATGAAAGAAAACCATTGGAACCGAATTACCCCGCCATGAAGCCATCTATCTCGGAGAGACATCGAGACGAGGACCGCAGACATGCTGATGCATTGTCATTGGAGCACGCTCCACCAGGGTGCGTATCTTGATCTGCTTCCCGTACGATCGCTTACACTATCAGGCCATGCTATGATGGACTCAAGAACAATGTGGCCACATCGCTGATGCGGGTTAAACTCAATGCCTGGCCAGAAGGAACGCCAGAGTTTGTCAGCCATACGGTGATGAAGGAGTACATCCAGGACACATCGAAGAAGGCTGGTGCCGAAAGCGTTACATTATACGGCGCTCGGGTGACCAGGCTGCGCAAGGTTGATCGCAAGTGGGACGTTACGTGGTCGACATTGAAGGAAACCACGCAATCGGGAACGTTGGAGGAACAGGAGGAGACTGCTGTAAGTTATACCATTCCAGGAGGAAGAAAATACTAAGTCTTTCATTAATAGAAATTCGACGCGGTAATAGTCGCTTCCGGCCACTATCATGCGCCTCGCGTTCCAGATACCCCTGGGTTGTCCAAGGCGAAAGCACAGTGGCCGTCGCGCATAACTCACTCGAAGGGGTACAGAAACCCGAACCCTTACGCGGGCAAGGTACGACATTACGCTCAATTTCTAGGATAATAATAACCAATAACCATGTTAAGAACGTCTTGCTTATTGGAGGCGGGGTGTCCTCAACGGATCTCGCTCGAGAAATCGGTCCGTTGGCCAAAAAAGTCTACCAAAGCACAAGGAACGGTGAATTCGATATCTCATCCAGTGTGCTTCCGGAGAATGGTACGAGAGTGAGCGAGATAGAACGATTCGAAATCGAGGCGAAGACTGCTGCAGATGACGAGCCTTTGCCGATCAAGGTACACCTGAAGTCAGGACAGACGCTTTGCGGAATCGATGCGATCATCATCTGTACCGGATACCATATCACGTTGCCTTTTCTGTCGGAATATCACGACGATGCGACACCAGCGGAGAAAGCGAGTGATACAGTCTTAGTGACTGACGGGACGCAGGTGCATAACCTACACAAAGACATCTTCTACATCCCAGATCCAACCCTGGCATTCGTGGGAGTCCCTTACTACACAGCGACGTTTACGCTGTTCGAATTCCAAGCGATAGCTGTAGCAAACGTTTTCGCTGGAATTGCAGAGCTACCAGCGGAGAGCGAAATGAAAGACGAATACGCCCGTAGAGTCAAGGAGAAGGGCAGTGGCAAGCGCTTCCACTCGTTGAAGGACATTGAAGAATACTACGTGATTGACCTACTGGAGTGGATCAACGAATACAGAGCCAAGTATGGTCTCACTGCGATCGAAGCACATTCTGACAATTGGCATCTGGCGAAAGCCGCGCAGAGAGAGAGAACCAATATGCTGCTGGGACTTGGCCGGAGACGAGACAGCGGCATCGGCGAGCTTCCGGTGTTGGAGGTATGCAGCTAGACAAATTATAGAATAGTTTGCATTTCAGTGTAGATGGCACAATTAGACGCAGGCATTGCCACTACCTTAGAACACCAAATACAAGCTTATCAGGCGAGATCGGCATTTCCATTAAGGCTGTAGACATTTTAACCGGCCGGCATCGCACGCCTATGCATAGGGCACATCATCCGAGATCTGGATGACGAGCTCCGGAGGATGGATGAGCAACCACTCATCCTTCGCGGACCTGACATGCTTTACCATCCCCGCACATCGGCAGACACGCTCGTTATCTTTCTTCCTCATCATTACATCTGACAGGATAAACCCCCGCAGATATTGCGTGAATGTGGTGGATGATGATGCATTGGTCTGTGCGGTCCTGCGCCCATCAGATATGGCATCCAGATCATCACATCAATCCTTGCTATCAAGCTTAAAACAGGGATAAATATGTGCGATTATCATGTGAAACATCATGCAGTACAGCGGGCTGTCCAAAAAAACTTACTGTACTCTCTGTGCTCCCCCCGCCTCCTCCGCCGGTCATCGTGAACCCAGATTAAGACCGGAATAATCATGGCACCATCGCCAGCTACAGTTGAAGAAAGGGCCGTTGGCACATCAAGTGGCATTGTCCAAGCAAAGCCCAAGCGAAGATGGGTTAGCTACATCTGGGATACTTTCGACAAGTCTCCCGAGGAGCGCAGACTGCTCTTTAAGCTGGATTCAGCTATCTTGACATTTGCGTCGCTTGGTAGGTGGCATCCATTAATTTCAACTAGTCGGAAGGACTTTTCTAATATCGTGGAAAAGGATATTTTATCAAGTATCTCGACCAAATCAATATCAACAATGCCTTCGTTTCCGGAATGTTCGTCACACCACTCAACCTCATGGCCAACCCCCATTGACAAAGCCATAGGAAGGAAGACCTCGGTCTATACGGCAACCAGCTCAACTACATGCAAGCATGCTGGACAGTGGGCTATGTGATTGGTGAAATCCCAAGTAACATGCTTCTAACACGCATACGGCCTAGATATTGGATTCCGGCGATGGAGGTATGGTTGTCCATATACTTAAGGGAACTATGCTGACAATGTCTAGTTGCTATGGACCGTACTTACATTTGCCTTATCGCGGAGTACCAATGCGACGCATTTTTATGTTTTGCGCTTCTTCATCGGTATGACATATCCCTCCTTGGCCTATCTCTGACTAACGCAATCAGGCCTTGCCGAGAGTAGTTTTTACCCCGGAATGCAGTACATCATCGGATCATGGTATCGCAAAGACGAGCCCGCAAAGCGATCATGTATCTTCCACACCAGCAGTGGAATTGCGAGTATGTTCTCGGGGTACCTGATGGACGCGGTGTACCATCTCGGCGGACGGGGAGGGTTAAAGGGCTGGCAATGGTATGTTCAATTCGCTCTGACTACGCTCAATCAACTAACAAGACAGGCTCTTCTTGATCGACGGAATAATCTCAATCCCAGTAGCCATCAGCGGCTTCTTCATCTTGCCGGATGTCCCCGAAATCTCAAGTCCGTTTTATCTGAGCGAACAAGAAGTCAAGCTAGCGCAGAAAAGGATGCAATTCGAAGGGCGGAAAGACAGAGAACCGTACACGAAATCAAAACTGAAAAAGATCTTTTCGTCCTGGCACATCTACTTGCTTACAATCGTATACATGTGCGTTGGCAGCCCCCGCCCTCAATGAATATGACAAGCTGATAGTAGCCTAGCACATTCAACAACGGAGCAGCAGGCAGTCAGCCCGTCTTTCAACAGTACGTTACTTCCTCAAGCTCCCTGGACTATGACTAAAGCTATCTTCGCAGATATCTCAAAGACTCCACCAACCCCGTATACTCCGTCGGCCAAATCAATGCCTACCCGACCACCACAAACGCAGTGCAGGTCGTCACGACCCTCATCTACGCATGTACGCACCATCCCTTCCCCCCCTTGACACAACCCATCCCAAGCACCGCTTACAAGAATATAATCAGGGACATCCGACACAATCCTCCAAGGCCGACGCTGGCCCTGCATAATCATCGGAGCTGTACGCCCCCTCCACCACCACCTCCCCTACCACACATCCCATGCACCACTAACACCCCAAACCCAGTGCATAAACATAATCTGCTACGTCTCCCTAGCAGTCTGGAACATCCCCACAGGCTGGAAATGGACCTGCTACATTCTCTCCGGCGCAGGCTACGGCCTGAGCGGACTATGCATGGCGTACGCTACACCCATTCCATCCCATCCCATCCCTATCCCCCATATAATCCCCCACTAACCCGACTAAATAATGTAAAGATGGGCCCACGAAATCTGCACAGACGACAACGAAGAGCGCGCGCTCGTCGTCGGCAGCATGAACGAAATGGCGTACGTGTTCCAAGCCTGGTTACCGCTGGTGGTGTGGCAGCAGGTAGATGCCCCACAGTACCGGAAGGGGTTTATTACAGTGACGATTATGTCTGTGATCTTGATTATTTCGACGGTGGTGACGTGGAGGTTGCAGATTTGGGAGGGGAAGAGGTACATTTATCTTCATTTTTTTTTTCTGGGGAGTGGTGTGTGGTTGGATGGTTTGCTAATGGGTGGTTTTTGTAGGAGGCTGAAAGTGGTTCAGGCTGAGGGGGTGGTAGATGGTGATGGGAGAAGTGAGAGTGAGGGGGATGATTCTAGTCGTGATGATGGGCGTGTGGAAGGGGTAGGAGATAGGGGGCAAGTGCGAAAGGTTTAGGAGTCTTTCACTTCAGTTAAGTAGTATTGAAGTTGGGGGTTGCTACTGGTAGTACTACTACTAAGGAGTACTATATATATCTCGTGATAGAGGTAGGATACGTGAGGTCTAGAACTGTGTTGCGAGGTTCAGTCAACACAGTCTTACTATCTACTAAACTTTAAAAAGCAAATTGAATTGGATTTTTATTGATTAGTATATCCAGCCTTCTTTAGCTCCTGATTGTTGATGGCTAAGATATTTTTTATTCCTACGGAGTGTCTTCTGGTATACTATCTGGTACGAATGATTGTGTCATTGCCCGTGTTGCCACAATCGTGAACTCTATTACAGCGAATGTAAAATAGTTCAGTGGGTCTAATACACATGGAAATATTTCTAAAGTCTCTTGGGAGAGAAGAAAAGAACTAGAGGAAGCGAGATTGATAGCGCTACGTTACTACGGACTATACATTCAGAGAACATTTCAGCCAAATTCTATCTTCTACCAGATCTGGTCAAACGAATGACTGGTTATTGAGGAATTAATATACACAAACGTCCAATCCATCACACCTTCATCCAAAGTTATTGTCCGGTCCACACCATCACCATGGCATTGTCGATGTCCTCGGTGGAATTAATGCATCAGCGTCAGATGATTCGAAGGTGCGGATTGTCGATCAAAGCCCAAGTATTGCGCATGGACTTAGTAAGAGGCACCCGAGGGAGCGGCGGCGGGAGCACCCGAGGCAGCGGGAGCACCACCAGCAGCTCCAGAAGGAGAGGGGCCGTTACCACCAGCGACGCCGGAAGGAGCAGCGCCGGAAGGAGAGGGGCCATTGCCGCCAGCAATGCCAGAGGGAGCAGCACCGTTACCACCGAAAGAGCCGGAAGGGGAGGGACCGTTGCCACCAGCGACGCCAGAGGGAGCAGCACCGCCGAAAGAGCCGGAAGGAGAGGGGCCGTTACCGCCAGCAACACCGGAGGGAGCAGCGCCACCGTTGCCACCGAAAGAGCTGGAGCCGGAGCCCTGCTCAGAGGGGGAGCCCTGCTCGAAAGAGCCCTGAGATCCCTCGGAGTCAAATCCCTGGGAGTCGGATCCCTGAGACTGGGAGCGCTCAGACTGGGAGCCCTGAGACTGAGAGTCCTGGGACTGGCCCTGGGACTGGGAGTCCTGGCCGCCGAAGCCGCTCTGGCCCTGCTGGCCCTGCTGGCCACCGAAGGAGCCAGAAGGAGAAGGACCGTTGCCTCCAGCAACACCGGAGGGAGCGGCACCACCGAAAGAGCCGGAAGGAGAGGGGCCGTTACCACCAGCAACGCCGGAGGGAGCAGCACCGTTGCCGCCGAAAGAGCCAGACTGGCCGGCCTGGCCACCGAAGGAGCCAGAAGGAGAGGGGCCGTTGCCACCAGCGGCGCCAGAGGGAGCAGCACCACCGAAAGAGCCGGAAGGAGCAGCGCCGTTGCCGCCAGCAACACCGGAGGGAGCGACACCACCGAAGTCACCTCCAGCAGCAGCGGAACCGGTCGGGGCAGGGACGTTAGAGGCGGAAGCGGGGATTTCGAGCTGGCGTCTCTTGTGGCCGCGAGGAGCTCCGGAAGGAGCGGGGGCAGCGGAGCCAGTGGGAGGAGGTTGAGGAGCATCGCCCAGGCTCACGGTGGGAGCCTGGCCCTGTCCTCCGAAGCCTTGGCCCTGACCCTGAGGAGCACCCGAGGGAAGGGGAAGGGGGGAACCCGAGGGAGCAGCACCCTGGAAGGAGGGAGCTCCGCTGGCCTGAATACCATTGGGAGCAGAGTCTTGCTGGGCGCCCATGGCCGGCAGGGCGGCAGCGTAACCGATAAGACCAGCGAAAGCAATTCCGGTGAACTTCATCTTGAAAGGATAGAGTGATGGATTTGTAGTAGTGAGTGAGAAAAAAAGAAGGCGAAATGAAGGTACGAAGCACAGCTTCTTAAGGAATGGTAGTTGAGATCAAAGGAAAGAGAATTTGAGCTGAATGAAGGATGATTCTAGTTGGGAAAAGGGACGCTTTTATACGGCACTCTCGAAGCGCTGAGCCGCTAAGACCCAGCGATGACCACCTCCATCCATTGCTGCGATGCGTGCGAGGAACCAAGCATTCGTCATGCACTGTTGTCACCGAGCTCGGCCCGCCTGAATCTGAGACGTCGACTGTCAGCAATAGATCAGGTTATGCTGGAGATGCAAGAACCGCATAGATCGCCAGACCTGGCGCTTGTGGGGGTGGGAGAGTGGCTCAGGGGCAGGGCTGATGTAAAATAGGGTTTGAACGTACCTGCTGGGCTTCTGTGGGTCGGTTAAGCATGAAGCCGGTAGTTGGATCCGTGAGAGGTGAGGATGTAGTAGAAGATGCTATTGATGGAGAGGAAGAAAGGGCAAGAGAGAAGTCACTCTGGCTGGCTGGAGCTGTGGCGGCGGCCCCACGTGCGCGGCTCGCCCTGAAGGCCGTCACGGGCCAGCCGACCCCCCAGCGTTTCATCTCTTCATCGCCTATTCACAATGGCTGACTCGTCCTCTCCTCTCTCCCTCCTTGGCCCCTCTGCCGCTTGGAGGTGGCTTGATCCTGGCTGCGGCGGTTGATCTATTTGCGGTTCCGTTATGATTCCCATGGTACTGCTTTATCTGGTTGCCTTTCTCCGCATCATACACCCACCATACTCAGTCCACACATACGGAAAGCCTCAAAAAGTGCCTCAGATCGTCGGTGGATGAATGCGACTGGTTGTTAGTCTCAGTCCAATGACAACCAACATGCAACGGAGCTGACGTCCTCGATCAAGTTGTTTCCTGCCGCTGTGGCTGTTCCAAGTTAGTGGGTCAGTCCAGTCTCGACTCTCGACACTGACAGTCGACAGGTCCTAGTGCTAACTAAGCGGAAAGCTAGTTAGCTTTGGTGTGTTCTTGGGGGCCCAACGATGGCGGGTCCTTGACTCTACGTTATTTGGGTGGGTCCATCTCGAAGAACAGCAGCTGTGGTCAGTGTCTATGTGCAGCAGCATCCTCTTCCGCTTACAGATCATCGTGAAAGCTATGATCACAACGATGTGATAATCACTGTGGGGGATAGTCATACCAATACCCTCACTTCCTATCCATCAAAAAAAAGGCCGTTGTAATGAGGTCCTACATAATACCCCTCGCTGAGAAAATTGTATTTGAACTCGGAACAGAGCTTTCCCCTTCAAAGTTGGGGGAGCCCACGATGTGGACCCATGGAATAGGGAAAGTAACAGCGATGGGACCCTGAGGGACCCTAGAGTCTCCAGAGAAGACTTTCACCCTTCTCTGGCATCTGTCCATGCCGGAAGTTTGTTAGGCTATCCTTGGTTTCCTGCATGGCAGGGTTGGACGTGATGGGATGGTCCAAGATGACGACAAATGGGGTCTGGACCAGTCGTCACCCTTTCCTAGCGAGCTACTATGAATGAAACGGACGGCTGTCTGGTTGTGGCATCTGTTCGTTTCAAGCCTTGGATTTGATAGCGCGTTGGAGCAGCTGGCGTGGCCCTATGCAGATCCCATGGGCTGCGTAAGCTGATTGGCCACCCGTCTGCACGGCCCATTTATCCGATCGGGATGTTTCACTTTATCTTCGCAACCCTCACAGTCGCCTCCTCACTGGCGGTCCACCCACTCCTACGTCGCTACCGGTTTCCATGCGATCGGCAGGCTTGACGAAATCAGATAACTGACTCTTGACTCTCAATATTGGGCCTTACCAGTATGGCTCCCACTGTTGCAGTGGACTGCTGCTCATTGACCTCCGGGGCAAAGGATTGGGAGCGAGTCGGCGTCCCGCAGCGGCCTCGCGGACTCCCCATGATTGCGAGTCAAAGGGGCCAAAATAGAAAGGATGCGATACGATCGCAATGGGTATAACCCAGGAATTCAAGTTGATTTCATTAGGTTTAGAAACCTATCCACGCCTATAGTGTCTCTATTTCTGTCAACCTCGAGACCCTAGGTGCGGGCCCTTTTCCAATTTCCACCCTTCAACTGTTTCGTGTCGGATCCGGCTTTTCCGGGCTTCTCCTTTTCCTGTCAATTGGTCCGTGCATCTGTCAATAGGAAGCGCCATCCTCGCAAGAAGGCTGGTGAATGGCGTCCCTCAGCAGCACAATCGATCATACCAGATTCTAATACGGCTTGGTCTGCCAGATGACGCGGCCGCCACAGTAACCGCCCCTGGGGCTAAATCCCGCATGCAGCGAAACTTGAACCATGACACACACCGACGGATATTCTCTTTACCTATCAAAAACATCTAGGAGTCGCTCTGTATAGGCTCCCCGCTCTCTTCCACTGACATAGTATGCAATAGGGTACTTTTTTTTTGTTTTGCCAGCTCTTTGCCAGGGAGTCAAAAAGCAAAGGAGACCAGAGGACTGGAACAATTCATGTATGTGATAGCCCTGCATATGTGTCGCAACGTGCAGGTGTGCCGGGATTCGGTCCTCATAGGCCACTTTTACCGCGACGGAAATTTCATCATCAAGGCCGGGAATTGCTTTCCGTCGTCCATTCTACGAGGGTTTCTTGGCAGTAGGGTCCAGGTTGTGCGCCAACCGAAAGCAATATGTCCCTGGAAGGAGCCAGGGTCCATCGCAGACGCGTAAGTCTAATTGCTTGTAGTCTTGCAATTCTTGCCCTTTCATTCCTGCACTCTGTGTGTTCATACACCCAAACGTACCAAACAGCACATATTTGTCTATCTCCTGGTCCTGTCGACTCGCGTTGCTGCATGGGCAATTGCTAGGGTGAGATTCACCTATGATGAAGTCAAGAAAATTGGTCTCTCCGTGCCATTTCTTCGCCTTAGAGCCGCATCATTCCTTTAGGACTACTTCGTGCTTGACACGGCTCTCATTTCATCTACAACGTCAGATTGTAGCACCATACATATCTGTTGCATGGGCTTGAGGCACGCTATCTTACTGGGAGCCCGACACTGACCTGCAGCGAGGGCCAGTCTTCGAAGGTGGCTTAGGCTGGAGAGTACAGGGAAGGCTTTTGATGGTAAGTGAGCAATCAACTGGATCCAACTCACCATCACAACCACTTGCGTAGTATCTATTTCCTTCAACGGGCTTATCTGATGTATTGTAAAATTCAGATAGGTTGTGATGCCCCAGATCCGTATCCCTGACAGTCGAATTAGATCTGCTCTGACCCAGTTGGTTCATACTCAGCATGCCACACACACAAGTGAGATTGCAGGAGACCACGGTGGCATTTTGCGCTCCAACTCCAACTTCCACTTACGATACCGACTGGGAATTGTGTTGCACACAAAAATGAACTGCTGACAAGCCTATACTTTCCGTGTGTTTGGTAAACACATCAGCGGCTCGGAAAAACTACCTGAATCATGGGTTTTACTGTGATGGTAGGCCCAAGTCCCAGCTTGTCGACCGGTATCAATCTCGGCTCACTATCACCAGGAACAACACGTACGTTGCTATTAGGGAGATCTAGACGTGGTATTTGATTGACGGAAAACGAGCCCTTTGAGGAGAGGTAGGACCCCGATGCGAAGAATAGTCTAGGCCAACACCCGGGTCTAGATTGCGGAGAAGGCCCTTCTTCCTTGTTATGAGCAGCATGTACTCCTCGATCCAACAATAAACAGGGTATGAATAGGCAGTGGTGAGTGTAGAGATGACATAAGAGATGGTGTGGCTGTTGAAGCGGGAAGTCCTGGGGCTGGCAGTCACATCATTGGCGGGCTCAGTTTCCCACCACTCTCTTTCTAAGTCGGGTTGCTTTCTAATGCCAGGGTCTAGGAAAGTCTCATGCTGATAGCCGAGACCTTCGCGGGAAGCCTAATAGAATATCTTCACCAACCCCCACTCACTCACTCGGTGCGAACCTGGATACATTGGTTCACGACAGCAGTGCATCATGAGTGTGGAAAGGTGATGTTACCTTTCAGGCAGTCTAGATTACCCCAGAGAGGGCTCCGGAGAATCCCACCAACCCCTGAACAGCTTATCCGAAGCACTCGTGCTGTAGTCTGCTGCTTCATATAGGCAGCGGCGATTATTACAGGCAATAATTCACGGTGTCATCTTTGAGGTATTGGACTCACTACGCAGCAAGGGCGGACAGAGGAGAAGTGTGAACATGAAAACGGAAAGATTCCACTAACGCCGACTAGGAGGTTATTACTCTTGCCATCGTCCGTCATCAGAGCCACAAGCACCAGTAGTTCACACTGAGTCATGATACTGTATTGCCAGAGCGCGTGTAGAGAATGCGTAGGGAGCGCGCATTCACTATTAAACCCCCATGTATCTCGCTTAGCATGCCTACTGGCTCGCTAAGTGTTGGATTCATCTCGCGTCTGTTGCCATCATATCTCTCATCTCCTTTCCATCTTCATCATCATCAACACTTCTTCTACAAGCATCCCTTTCAGACTACTTCGTTTACAAAGATACGCTGAGTTCGAACATCTGTTCATCAAATTGCGCTTCTGTATCAACGGTGCTAGTAACAACGCTTCGAGTGCTACAAGAGACTCATCTAGTCAAGATGGCAGACACTCCAACGAACCTGTCACCTGACGACAGCAGTCTCATAACCCAGGCTGAGAATATGCTGTCCGCACTGCTGAAGGTCGAGCAAGCAGTCGATGAAGCTGGCGCAGGTAAAAATAAACATCAAGACTTCACGAAATACGTACTGGGTGCAACGGCAAAGCTGGGATTTATCATAATAGCTGGCAAGATCGTCAGTGTCAATGGTCGCCGGCTGGATCTGACCGAAGTAGTGGCTGTTGCTAAGTACGTTGTTAGCTTTGATGGAATCCCCAGGATGCATTTAGCTAACTCGTTATCTTACCTCAGACATGGGGTGACGCCTGTCGTTTGCGATAATGGCACCATTCGCTCTAAGATGCAGTCCAGTGTGGAATTCCTCCAGAAGCATCTCAAGGAGGGTAATACCGTCTATGGCGTCAACACTGGCTTCGGAGGAAGTGCCGACACGCGTTCCGACAACTATCGTGCTCTGCAAAAGGCACTGGTTCAGCACCACAATGCCGGTGTGCTTCTCCCCGCTGAGCAGGGGCTCGAAAGCACCCCCATCCAAGATCGCATGAAGAAACACTCCATGCCCGCTCATTATGTCAAGGCAGCCATGCTGGTCCGGTGCAACAGTCTAATCAATGGGCATTCGGCAGTGCGCCCAGTGGCCATTCGTCATATTCTCAAGTTGGCCGCTGCTGACTTCACGCCTGTTGTTCCGTTGCGCGGCTCCATTTCAGCTTCCGGTGACCTAACCCCTCTCGCGTACATCGCTGGGACAATTGAAGGAAATCCCGACATCTTTGTGGACCTTGGACCGAAGCACAACAATGTCATCCTCCCTTCAGACGAAGCCCTCGCAAAGCTAAGCCTGAAGCCCATTTCTTTCTTTCCAAAAGAAGGTCTTGGACTGCTTAATGGAACTGCTTTCAGCGCTGGAGCCGCAAGTCTTGTGCTCTTCGAAGCCAACCAACTGGCCCTATTCGCTCAAGTCGCAACCGCCATGTGCACGGAGGCGTTGATCGGGAGCCGTCGTAACTACCATCCATTCATCAGCAACACTCGTCCACACCCTGGACAGAAGGAAGTGGCACGTAATCTGTACGGCCTCCTCAAGTACTCCAAGCTAGCCACTAATTCAAACCCCGAAGAAGTTGGACTCGCTCAGGATCGCTACGCAATCCGCACCACTCCGCAGTGGATAGGTCCACAGATCGAATCCTTGATTCTCGCAACACGCCAAGTGGAATGCGAATTGAACTCGACCACAGACAATCCCTTGTTAGATACTGCTAATGGCGAGGTGCATCACGGAGGCAACTATCAGGCAGTTTCAATCACGTCTGCAATGGAGAAAGTCATGACCTGCATGCAAATGCTCGGGAAGATGATCTTCGCCCAATGCTCCGAACTGCTTAACCCGATGTTCAGCAAAGGTCTACCTCCCAACCTCTGTTCCGACGATCCCAACTTGTCTTTCGCCTTCAAGGGTATCGATATCAACATGGCATCGTACATGAGCGAACTGGGATACCTGGCTCACCCCGTCAGCAATTTCGTCCAATCCGCAGAAATGCACAACCAATCTCTAAACTCACTGGCTCTCCTCACGGCCCGCTACGCAGGTGACACCGTCGAGATCCTCTCGCTAATGATGGCAACACACATCTATGTGCTGTGCCAGGCTCTCGACCTACGCACACTGCAGCTCGAGTTCGAAAAATCTGCAAAGCCTTCCGTGGACGAAACAACAACAGCCATGTGCAAAGACGTGGTCCCTGAAGAACGTATCCCGCACATCAAAGACGAGATCTGGAAGATCCTAATGCAACACTGGGGAAAGAACTCCAATCTCGGACTCGCCAGTCGCGCAGCAACCTCAACAACCCATACACTTGGAATCGTCCTGGATCTGATCACGGTTGAGTGTGACGAAAGTAAGACTGCAGATATTCCAGGCAAGATGTTGCTTTGGCAGGAAGATGTCAAGTCTAAGCTGTGCGACGAGTATGAGATGACGCGTGAAAAATACTTCCTCGACCCATCGACGCCCGACTATCTCTGCACCTCGTCCATCAAACTGTACAATTATGTACGCAAGACTCTCGAGGTCCCAATGCACAAGGGTGTCGTCGATCATCCAACTTTCTCACCTCCTCATGCGATTTCTAACGAGAAACAGACGATTGGTACGCTCATCAGCACGATCTATGTCGATCTTCGCGAAGGGGACCTCATGCACACCCTAAAGGGCTGCTTTGAGGTCCCCGGGAATGACTTTCTGGGAAAGAACGATGAAGAGTGAGATGATAGGCAAGATCCAAATACAAGGGTGAGTTAAAGGGGGCTATGAATGATTGAAAGATCAGTGTGTTTTCCCCTCGCTAAATGAAAACACAGAGTGCGGAAAGAAAATTTCTCCATTCACTTTCTTACTTACTGTGTCGCATTACTTTTGCCGAGTGCATAGGTGGCATCGGGTAGCGCAAAACCCGGCCGGCGTTGTCATTCTCATTTTATGTTCTTTTCATTGCATCTTCCTGGAGTGAAGCCATAGGCGTTTATCTGGATTCGGTGCTAGTATTCCTATTGCCCAGCCACAGGCGTTGTTCTTGATGTCTTGCAATTTGCGATGCTGGTATACCTGGATCCCAGCTACGGGCGCGGCGCCTATGTTGATTTCTTGCGATTTTCGATACTGATATTCCCCTGGATCATAGGCACAGGCGTTTTATCTCGATGTCTTGCAAGCGTTTCATGCTGGATTTCTCATTGCTGAATCTTTTGTATACTTTAGATAATTTCCCAATGAAAGCAATATCACCCTAAAGAATAAATTCCTCATTCAAAGCAAGAAACCACTATACTACAGTATGATGGCAAAAAGAGACGATAGTGACAGCACCAGACTACTAAGATTTCCCGCCTGGTTCTTCACTAAGCATATCAGTATTTCACCCATTCAAAATACTCGACCCTACCTAGAAATGACATAGAACCTCACTTTCGGATTGGCACAAACGATAGTTCCCACACCCAATAGTCAATAGTATTATCGTATCGTTCATTCATTATTTCCACCCCCAGTCTTCCTTTCATAATAGTTCACACAATGTTGGATTATCTGAAAGGAAATATTCCATTATATTGCCAAAGACACGCACAGCCCAGAACTCGATTGCCAGTGATTTAGCATAGCCTCACAAGCTAAGTAATTAACTATGAAACTAAATACTAGTACGTGGGTGTTGTTAACTTGTTATTCATCAACACCCACCATCTCGTAGATAAGTAAGCCTCGAAGTTAGGCGAACGGACGAATGAAAGCGGCCATCTGCCGCTATGTGCTCCACTTCCTGTGCGGGTACAATCCTGCAATTAGTGGGGAGGATCATCGGTGAAGGTGGATTCGGAATTATCAGTAGGTGGCTATGTCCCGCTACTAAGATCGGTATGTTGAGGTTGTAGTACTAGAAAATTCTTACATTGATATCTATGATGATTTTTTTCTCTCTTCTTAGGGCTTTAGCTGTAACTCTTCGGAGAAGAAAGAGGAAAGTAGAATGTGGAGGGGAAAACCAAGACAGGAAAATAAAAAAGAAAGAAAGAAAAGAAAAGAAAAAAAGAAAGAAAAGAAAAAAAGAAAGAAAAGAAAAAAAGAAAGAAAAGAAAAAAAGAAAGAAAAGAAAAAAAGAAAGAAAAGAAAAAAAGAAAGAAAAGAAAAAAAGGGGAGCTAAAACGGGTAAAACGGATAAAAGAAAGAAGAAAGAGAGGATAATAAATATATGAAGAAGAATGAGAGGGAGAGATTGGTTGCCTGCGAACAATCAATATAATCAATAGATGGTAGACACAGTATGCTCGAAAAGATCAGCCAAGCTTATCTCCAGTGATGACAGAATGATATTTCCGTAAGCAGACTAGAGCCTGCTTATCTGTATAGCCATTCTATGCAGAATTCTGTCTCTCACAGTACTCATAAATAGTATTTATTATACAATCGACATGAAGAGATAACGGAGAAGCTATACTCAATAAGCGCTACTTTTAATTTGCCTTTTTCTCCTACCAAAGCTAACGAAAGTTTGGCTACTTGAAAAACAAGTCTAGATATATTGCAAGAAGCACATGCAGAACGCACGCTGACATCCAGTGTCACGCTGGGTCTAGCGCATTCTAGCGCATGAGGCTTTGTTTCGAACGAAGCATGGGAAAGAATCACAAGTGCCTATTACCCATGTTTGACAGGATGCAGGCCCCATTGTATGACAAGGCTGCATCATGCCAAACTGGCTGAGCTCCACATGGAGATCAAGTGTGAACAGTTCCATACTTCTCCGATGAGGTGTGGCAGACTAATTAAGACACCACCCACACAACCACTAACCATGGGACGGAAGCTACTGCACTCAGATATAGAGATTGGATGTGGTGATTACTTCATTCTCTATGGGTCTCAAAGGGGACTCGGTTGACTGCTGCCATTATATCATGGCAATTGTCGTGTTGGTGATAGCCAATCACGAAGGTAAAGACATTTTGAGTTATACAAGGCCAGAGACGTACCCGACAATATCCCTACTGCCCCATTTTCCGAACGCAAAACATGGTGGGATTTCCATTTATGAAGGATTGATCGAGAGAAGACTACTACTGTTCTCTCCAACAGCATGGCTCAATTCTAATCTGTGGCTGAGCAAGCTAAGCAATTAAACAACACCGGTTCGTCACCTTGGGTGTCTTGTGCATCGGACAAAAGGGCCTTGGTATCGATATCCCCTAGTCTGCAATATATGCGATATCCGAAAATGGGGACCTAAAGGCTCGAACCGATTCATTTGAATCTCCATCATGAGCATGTCACTCAAAGTTCTTGCAGTCTACCTGTTTTTTCAACGATTCCCACTCACTCAAATCAACCAGAGGACCGATTATAAACTGCCAATATACAGAAGAGAAGGAATAAACAGGTAACTCTAACGAAACTGGGAAACACGTGCATATACGATCCCATCTGAATTGCCATATTGAGTAGGCTGTGTTCTTCGACTCTTCCTGAGAGACTAAACCTGAACAGGCAATTGAGATGTTCGGGCAGAGAAAATGCGGGGAGGCTATCCCTGTTGCAGGGATGATCATCTCAGCACTAGGCCGGTAGAGGTTTAGTCGCCTAAGGTGGATGCCTCAGCCCCAGTCTCTGTGGAACGCGTCGAGATTCATGACAACACCTCAAGCCTGAACAGGAAATAAATTTGCGACTGCGGGAACTTCAACAAGGCTGACTATTTGGGGGCCGAACTCAGCCTCAACTTGAAAATTAATTCCGATTGTTTTGATTTGACATAGGGAGATTGCGGTCTGCGTGAGATGAACTTATAAAGAACTTTGGGGTACCTGCTCTCAACATGTCTTGGACCTGCAAGCTTCTCTCAATCACCTTCTATATTCCTTGAAATCCTCTCATCAGACATCATGACGAGGCAGTCTTCTCTCATTCCCACGCTACTTTCGCTAGCCTCGCTGGCAGCTCTCTCACAAGCAGAGTTGGGCAAGATCCAATGGAGAGGATCTTGCAACTTGACCAGTTATCCGACATTGGTTTGCGGAACACTAGACGTGCCATTGGACTACACCGAGTCGAATTCCAGCAAGACATTGACTCTCGACATTGCCAAGTGGCCAGCGACCAAGAAACCAGTTTCCGAGCCGATTATATTCAACTTTGGAGGGCCTGGTGTGAATTCGTTCGAAGGTCTTGGACTCTATGGAGAGGAATTTCAGGCGTAAGTTGCTGTCCAGCTTTATCGCATCCCATGCTGACTGACATTCGTTCTCTAGTATCCTCGGTGGTCACAATGATTTGATCGCCTTTAACAATCGGTTTGTGACAGTCATTCTTCAAGTTGCGAACAAATAATAACTTATGACCTTATCTAGTGGCGTTGGAGACACCATTCCATTTTCGTGCTATAGCGATGACGCCACCCGTGAACTCATCGCCCTCCAAGCCCCTAACGACGGCAGAGCGTCCAGTACAGCTTTGGGAGAAATTTGGGCGCAGAACGCAAACATCGCACAGGCATGCTATGCTACGAACAATCAGACAGGGAGCCTTATCGGAACTAGCTTTGCTGCGAGGGATATCGTGCAGGTCGCTGATGCGCTCAGTGGAAAGGATAGTTTGGTGAACTTCTGGGGTAAGTATCGCGGCTGGACTGAGACTACGCTTTTGCTGACGCTATAGTCAGGATTCTCATACGGCACTACAATCGGCTCTGTTCTGGCAGCTATGTTCCCGGAACGAATGGGATATGTCGCGCTTGATGGAGTGGATAACCCCAGAGAGGCTCTCTATGGATAGTGAGTGGTTCTTTGAACTTACCTAATCTGGTATCTTTCAGACAGCTAATTCTTCTGAATAGCAACGCACAAGCTGTTGTGGACGTCGACAAAGTTTTCGAAGGCTTCTGTGCGGGCTGCATGGCCGCACCGGACCTGTGCCCGATCGCCAAGGAGTACACCAGCGCCGCAAACTTGGAAGCTGCCATCTACCTGATGCTCGAAAACCTCAAGTACAACCCGATTGCCATTCCCGAAATTGGTGGTATTGTGACTTGGAGCGACGTCAAATCTACCATCTTTGAAGCCATGTACCTCCCCAGCTCCTGGCCCTTGACCTCTGAGCTTCTTTACTACGTGCAAACCCGGAACACAACAATCCTTGGAAACTCTGAGGTATACGAGACCATCAAATCTTACGGCCAGTCGGCTTCCCTGACTTCGGCTTCCGATGAGGTCGGCACGGCCATTACATGCTCCGACAAGCATCGATCAGCCACCTTGAAAGAGGTCCTCCCCTACATTAAGGCCAGACAGGCCCTGAGCAAGATCTCAAGTGATGGCTCGGACGGAGACATGAGATGCGCGCAGTGGAACCCGAAGATGTTCGCCAAGGAACGCTACTCGGGTGACTTTGAAGTCAAGACAGCTAACCCGGTGTTGATTCTGAGCAACACCTATGATCCCGCGACTCCTCTTCCCGCAGCGAAGAACCTGACAGAAACGTTCGAGGGAAGTGTTCTGCTCGAGCAGAACGGATACGGTGTATGTTCTACTTTTCCATTTTATACTGTCTAATGTGAGCAAGCAGCTAATTTACTGGTGACAGCATACTACCCTGTCGATGCCCTCTCTTTGCACTGCCAAGGCCGTCCGGGCTTACTTCACCAATGGCACATTGCCCGCTGATGGAACCATCTGCCAGGTGGACGTGCCTCTGTTCACGAACTTGACCTACAAGGATGTGTGGCCAAAGAGTTTCCAGCGGAGTGTTGAGTCGAGGGATGATGCGAGTGTCCTCAAGGCTTTGATGTCCATCCGTGATAAGATGTCACGCCGCAGGATCTGGTAAAAGCATGCTATAGATGGGAAGCCCAAAGCGATGACTATGAATAATGTTCTTCATATATTTTATTTTCCGGCATACGCACGTCATGTAATAGAGTCTAGTTAATTTTGCAAGGAATTGTATAGTAATTGAACTTGTACCAAAACAGCGCTTCATAAATACCGGAACGTTCCAAAACAGGTTTCTAGCTAATTTTGACAATTACTCAGTAGCCTGATGTTAACAATAATATAGAGTTGAGGCAAGTACCGTTTGTTGTTTTGATAGTGGAGTAAATCAGCAATGCCCCACACTGATCTGCTGGTTTGATTGGATGATTGTCCACTGTTGTTATGATCTGAGCAGCGGGCCTCAAACATCGCCGCCCAGTTCCTTGCTTCCTGTCCCGCGGCATTAGCCTAGGAGGCACGGAACTTAAGCTGCAGGGCGGTCAGTTCAAATGATCTTTTGAAGTCATCCTAAGGCTTCTAGAAATTCAAGTGAATACATGAAATTGGAAGTCCCTGATTTAAAAATGCCTGCATGAGTTCCGGCCAACAGAGTTTTCGATCAACAACTACTACCGCGCTTCTCTTTACTAAATACCCTCATTTAATCAATGCACACTACTCTGGACTATCTACCTTGAGATTATTCTTAAGCTTGCATCTTACCTTCCCAAATCTCTCTCGTTCTATTGCCCACTTGCTTTACCGAGTGATTCCTGATCCCTTCAGCACCCGGCACACACCATGGATCAACCAACTCATACTATCGACCCCGAAGGAGATGTCATCATAGTCCTAAGCAATGCCAACTCTCCCTTCGCACCAGATGATCATGAAGACACAACTGCGAAAAAGAACTTTGACAGTGACTCGAAAACCTCTGATGAGGAGGAGGACCAACACCGCGAAAAGCGACCCCGACTTGTCGAAGAACAGCCTTCTGAGACGCCAACAGAAGATGGACACCTCAGCGAGACACCAGATCAGGAATGTTTCCGCATTCAAGTCTCCGCGAAGCACTTGATACTTGCGTCCCCAGTTTTCAGAAACATACTCACTGGTAATTGGAAGGAAAGTGTCAGTTATCTTCAAAAAGGCTCCGTTGAGATTACTGCCGAGAGCTGGGATATTGAAGCCTTCTTAATATTCCTTCGCGCGATTCATAGCCAACAGAGCCAAATACCTCGAAAACTCTCTCTTGAGATGCTCGCCAAAATTGCTGTTCTGATCAACTACTATGACTGCAAGGATGCCGTGTCTATATTAACGGAACTGTGGATCAATGGTCTGGAGGAAAAAGTTCCCGCAACATATTCCCGCGATCTAATGCTATGGCTGTGGGTCTCTGCGTTCTTCAAGCTCTCTTCACAATTTCAAACTTCGACATCAAACGTCATGACACACTGTGATCATTTGATTACTAACCGTGGGCTTCCAATCCCTGAGAACATCATCAGTAAGGACACACAAACGCTAAATGGCCTTTATCTCTAATATAGTTACAGACGTAATGAATGAACGTAGGAGTGGAGCCATTAATGAGATATTACTCCGTGTGCATAAGATGCGTGAAGATCTTCTCAGCGGCAGTCGGGGTTGCGACTTCGAGTGCAGATCGATGACGTTGGGAGCTATAACGATGCATATGAATTCTAATGATCTACTTCCACTAGAACCCGAGGCTCCTTTCCCAGGACTAAGTTACGCTGGGATCTTTAGGAAGATACAGTCTTTCAAATCACCAGACTGGTACTCTGCCACCCGTTCGCTTTATTATGATAACGAATTCATAGCCGACTCCTCCCCTCATAGATGTCAGTCTTCTTCCTTCGAGACTGTTATCCAAGGAATGACAAATGCTATCAGTGGCCTTGATTCATCGATTATGGGCCTATGACTAATCCAGAAAATGTGAGGTTTTAGATCCTTTTAACATTTCATTATCACATTCTTTTATGTGTGGATGAATGATATCGCTATTGAATGTCACTGGCTGAGGATCCAGCATGTCTTTGGGGCAGAGAATTCAGAGTCGAAATATATTTGTTGCGTTTGGTCATTGAACTGCCCGGAATGGTGTAAACTTTGGCTTCTAGGGAAGCAATGCTCAGCTTTCGGCGGAGGTCGACAAAAACAGCAGTAGGTTTCTATATTTGAGGAATCTGCGTCAAACATACAGCCAATTCACTATTCATTGCGCCACCCAGCAGCCCCTGGATTGATCTGCATAATTAGATATTTTACTGTGTATGTTATGCTGATACCAAGAGCGGGAAAAAGAAAAACAAAAACATAAATAAATTGAAAAAAAAAAAAAAAAAAAAAAAAAAAAAAAAAACAACAACAACAACAACAACAAAATGCCAGGCCCTGCTAGGCACAATGAAGAGCAGAGCAACAGTATGTTCTAGGCTTTCATCTATCTAGGAATTGGGGGGGGGGGATAAGATTGGCTTAGCTTAGATTCTCCGTGAACACAAAATAAAAGAGTTAGCTGGAAGAGTAATTGATTTGATCAAAATTAACTGCTCTGTATAAAAAAGTCAGAGCAGATCTGGGATATCCGATAAAGCCGAATATGCGGCACAAGAGCCACCCGATCTTCTCCGCACGGACGTGGCTACGCGTGTCTCTAGCCACTAACACCAGATTCGAGCCGATTACGAAACCATCATTCATAGCCAGGATTGCGCAAGACATTTGGCAGATGCGGGGTTCCCATCTCGCCATCGATGCTGATACGAGAGTGGTTGTTGTTGGAGAATTGTTGCATAAGTCGGGACGGCAATTGCGTGATGGCCGGGAGTTATGCTTATCAACCCCATCCCGGTTTCCATATATCTCAGCCAATGTCCCAGCAAAAGTAAAGTCACAAAGCAGTCTTTTTATTTAACTCCTATCAGTTCTATTACACTGTACATATCATGGCTCCTGGACTATCTGCAGATCTCCCCATCCACTCGCACCCCGCATCCAGTGGGGATGGCCCGACTGACCAACCACGGTATCCCGCTCCACTGAAGCCCAGTGGTGCTTTGGATGAGTTCGCATTTGAAGAGACAACTCCAGTCATTGGTCGCGAGTACCCCACCGTCAATATTGTAGATGATCTTCTGAACGCTCCCAACTCTGATGAGCTGGTGCGCGACCTTGCCATCACGAGTACCTCTCCCAATTTACCCTAACTGTATCTACCCCATCACTAACTATTACCGACAGTCTCCCAACGCGGCGTCGTCTTCTTCCGCGCCCAAACCAATCTCACCGATGACCTCCAGAAAGTCCTCATCCACCGACTGGGCCAACTAACCGGCAAACCCTCCACTTCCACCCTGCACATCCACCCCCTGCTGAACAACACCAACGAGTTCGGCACCGCAGACGCCGAAATCAGCACAATCAGCTCTCTCGCCCGCAAGAAGATGTTCGCCCACGATCGCCAACCCGACCGCCGTCGCTATGACTCGGCCCAATGGCACTCCGATATTCAGTTCGAGCCGGCACCAGCTGACTACACCTCCCTCCGGCTAACCCAGCTTCCCAAAACCGGTGGAGACACCCTCTGGGCATCTGGGTATGAGCTCTACGACCGGTTTTCTAAAACATACCAGAAATTCTTCGAAGGTCTGACAGCGACGTTCGTGGGCGACGGCTTCATCAAGGCGGCGGAGAGAAACCCCAAGGAGTACAAGATATACACTCAACCTCGGGGAAGTCCGCTCAATGTTGGGGAGGAGCTGGTGGCTGTTCATCCGATCGTGCGGACGAATCCGGTGACGGGGTGGAAGAGTATCTTTGCTTTGGGACCGTTCCCGAAGTATATCAATGAGCTGAACCAGAATGAGTCGGAGGAGTTGTTGAAGAAGTTCAAGTCAATTATTATTGAAAGCCATGATCTGCAGGTCAGGTTCAAGTGGAAGAATGAGCATGATATTGGTATGTTCTATGCACTTGTTGTGTTGTTCAGTTTGGGACTAACACTCGATAGCTATCTGGGATAACCGGAGTGCTTTCCACACGGCTACCTTCGATTATGAAGGCCTTGGTGAGAGATTCGGGCACCGGGCGGTCGGTATTGGCGAGAGGCCTTACCTTGACCCGAACAGCAAGTCCAGGACCGAAGCGCTGGCAGCTGAGGGCCTTATTTGAGTATTAGTCCCATGATGCTTGTATGCGTTTGGAATTGGAAGACGGCTTGATATCGGCGGAGGCAGTGCCTCTATCCGGTCCTTGGGGGGATATGCTAGCACCTATTATTTCGCATATGATATGTACAGATGAGACTGCTATGTATTTGCTTCTAAGACGCTTAGGCACCTGACATCAATCATTTTGTCCCTAGATCTCGTTTTCTGGAATCAGTATAATTAATGGTCACGTCCATCTCAGCGAATTGTATCTTTTACGTTATGAGACACTCCTCGGAATATATATTTGGAGGGTGCATTCTGAGTTCAAGAATCTTTCGAACTTCATTTTATGTTATAATTTTTTTTTTTGAGTTTTATTCATATTATTTTTCTATTTCTATTCTGCATTGCCTGTTTCGATAAAACATGGTTTTCTTGGGGCTCGTACGGCGGATCGAGGGAGAAAAAAACAAGAAAAAAGATACTGAGCCCAGCCCGGCTCGATCGGACAACCTTACGATCTGGAGTCGCTGTTGGAAATCTGTTAGAGAATGTTTTTGCAGTCCGTTTGGATGCAGGTGAACTTACTACGCGCTACCAATTGCGCCATAGGCCCATTTGTTGGTGAAGGTAAGGTAGATCATTAATGTGCTACATGTAAAGCAGGAGTGCACGACAAATGGACCGGTGCGAACGCGTGGGCGTTTCTCAACCATCAACAAGGAAGGAAATTGGAAAAATCCGAATTTGGGCAAGGAAAAAAAAAAAAAAAAAAACCACATGAATATAATCCAATAAGTTTCTAATAACTGGATACTTTTCTTGGAAGATGTCATGATCAATTCTGCCCATCACTGTGCCCAACCTCCCTCAACCCAACCTGATACTCAACCTTCTGCTCTACTTCACTCTCCGTCGACGACTCATACTTTTTATTGATATCCTCCAACTCTAGCTTCCTCGTTTCCGGAATGAAGAAATACCCAAAGATGACCGAAACAGCAGACAGTGACCCATAAATAAAACCCAGCTTACCGCCAATATCCACATGGCCGGGATCGTCTGCGGTTTCGAGATAGGGGTAGGAGAACGTCACGGCGAACCTGACAATCATACTCTGTCAGTTTCCATGATCTGGAATAAATGTGTGCAATGGTATGTGTGGAGGGAAACGTACTCAGTAATCAGCTTCACAGTATACGCGATCCGCAGAGTCATTTCTCTCAACCCGGCCGAAGGCAATTCCGCACCGAGCACATACACTAATGGCGCCCAGGCAAGAGACCAACCAAAGCTGTAAAGAAGCAGCATGGCGACGATGCCTTCTTTGGCAGCGGTGTTACTGGGGTCTGCGGTGCCGAGACCGCCCATTGTCATCAAGGAGGCCGTTTCGAGGAAGCCGCTTACGTGGAAGAGCATTCTGCAGTTGAGGACGAGCATCAGTGAACACTGAATCAGAAACAGAAAAGATGACATTTACTCACCTCCGTCCAATCACATCACTCAATGCCGTCGAAATGATCAGCGCCCCGATATCAGTCGCATTAGTACCCAGTGTGACACTAAACGCATTGACCGATTTCAACTGCTTCACGAAAAGCGTCCCATACTGACTCGCAAACGCCTGCCCTGAAGCCTGCTGAAAGAAATTCGCAGCGGCAACAACGAACGTGCGTTCACGATTCCCCTTGATGAAGAGATCCTTGAAGCTTTTTCTCTGCAGCTGGGCCGTGACTTTCTGTGCCATTTCGTCAAAGTCCTCTTGTATCTCATGTTCGGGCGTGTTTTTCGATCGGTATCGTTTCAACGCTTGCAGTGCTTCTTCCTGTCGGTCGCGGAGGAGCAGCCATCGTGGAGACTCGGGTATTATCCATACGAGCCATATGCAAATAAATGGGATGACGAGAATCAAGCCGAAGGGAATTTGCCATGCGGTGTTTGTTGGAATGCCTGATGTGCCTCGTGCGATGCCGGTCACTACTAAGCCTCCGATCTTGATGCTGAGCCAGTATAGGACGCCCATGGCGCCGCGGACGTTTCGGGGAGCGAGTTCGGCCAGGGTGGTTGGGATTACGGCTAGTTGCATTCCTAGGTAGATGTCTGTAGAGGTTAGATGATGGTTTGTATTTTGGAAGATGTAAAGAAATACTGACAGTGTAATGCGCGACCGGTTAATATTTGCGCGTCTGTTTTAGAGCTCACCACAACTGCTGCACTGCCTAGTGCGTAGAGGTTCATGCTGAATATGCACCATTTCCGACCATAAGTATTGCTAATATAGCCTCCTAGGAAGACACCTATCGTAAAATAAATCAGCCAAATACTACATAGCCTTGGAAAGTACCATCCTCACCGACAATCTGCGTCCCCGCCTTCAAACTATTATAAAGCGAAGTGAACAACGGCTTCACCTTGTATTTCCCGGTGCTGGGATGATAAACTCCAAACTGACGAGCAAACGAATCCATAGCCTGACAAGAAGAAAACGCCTGATCACTGAACCCATAATTAAACGCCGAAACTGCCAGCAGCACGGTCGTGAAAATGAGCATCCGGCTCCATTGTTTCTGAGATGCCATTTGGAGGCAATCTATCGTTGAGATGATATCCCGACCAGAAACATCTATCAATCAATCAATCAGATAATCAAAGGCCGAGATAATCAGATATGGTGTAATCAGATCATCAGATAATGGTGGCGAACGGATGGCTTGGCTTTATACGTCGCAAGGTTTGCAACGTGGGCGGGATGGCGGAGGGTTTTTCTCCCCCGACCCTCCCCGACCGGTGAGATAATGAATGGACTAGTCCAGTAATTCTTGCAGCCTGCATCGGCTATCATCGCTCGATTTAGCATCGGTGGCATGGTTTCGTGTTTGGCGGTTCATCCATCAGCTCGGGCTTACGAGGCTGTGATGGATCGGCCTTATTACAGATCCCACGCTGATCATGGTAGAGTGTGTCCAATCATCATGACCATTATGTCTGATTGCTTCCAGGTGACACAGAAACATGGCGACCCCTATGCATAGTACGTTTTGATCTTCTTAATGCCTTCCTCATGCTGCTTTCCCCTTTAACCGCGCTTTCCTACGGCCTACCCTCCCCCTGATCAATCTCTTATCTTTCTCCGAGTCTTCCGGTACTGGTACCGTACTGCGTCCTGCAGGCTTGCCTTCTCAGGCAACATTGTCTCATCCTTACTGCACATATAATATCTATGCTTCGCCTGTATCAATTGAATGAGTGTTCCATTCTACGAACAGGTTATATATTCAAAACAAAGACATCGAACCACTTTCTCCATCTTGCCAAGCTTGCCAAGCTCTTGTATAGGGCTGTGAGGCTGTAGGGCTGGAGCCAAGTCTCAAGACCCTTTGTTCCCATCAGCGACGGGTGGTTATTAATACGGTTTCCCGAATTCAATCTCCCATCTGATTACCGGATGTTGGTTCCATTCGTGCCCGGAGAGGGAATTTCCGGAGTCAGCGCACTTTAAAAAAATTTGTAAATGAGGGGTAATGCATAATCTCGGATTTACATGGTTCTTTTTTTAGCTGCGTCTTTTGTTGGTGGACAACACCACACACAATTGGCTTCCATTTGATCGCGTGTGCTGAGAAACCATGTTTCACAAGTTTTACAACTTGCTGGTTGATTTAGTTGAGTGATTAAGTCGGAGATTTACGAACAAATAACTTCTTTGTAAGTTCACACCCGGGTCCACTGCGGTGGTGTGTTCGCTCTCACGGGCTGGTCACGTTGGGGGCTCGCTTATACCTGCCACCATATGATATGCTCAAGCTTTCAAGTAACACATGGCAGACAGCCCCCATTATGCGTGGGATTTCTTCCCTGCACTTGCGAAGAAGGATCTGACGGACTCCACAACGCCGGCTATCCCCCAAGCCAGCTTGGCACTGCTTATATGGAGTAGCCTGAGGCATCTTTAGGCGGCAGTCATGATTGATTGATCATGAGGAGGGAGCTCTCATGAACCTATTCATTGCAGGTGAATAGTACCACTTCCCACACCAGATTAGGAAAAATACTTTTGAATGGCATTGACACGTCTTATTCAGTGTGACCCATGTTCCTGTACAAAAAGTCCGAACGGACCGTTGCGAAAGCCCGGGCGGTGGTGTGTTACTCGAAAACTGGGGATTCTTGACTATGTGCAGCCTAGTCAGGATAAATCTGAGCCTAATCCCAGTAAATCCGGGGTAATACTACAGCCAAGTCTGCATGGCCCAGTAATTGGTGTTCAGGATCTGGGTTTGATTAGCAACATTGTAGTAGCACGTATGTCATCGTATACGCAGGACCTGCACCCAAGTTCCGCTGAAGTATAGGGTATGTTGGTTTATGGTTACTTGTGTCGCACCAATATCATATTCAGTGTTCCATTTTACTACTATCATGAACCACATCTCCGTGGAACCCACACAGGCATGACAGGTTATATAGTCCCTATGAGAGCCATATCGTCACAGCAGTCTCCTATGTCCTTATGCCAATTGACTTGAATCACTACATCCACAATGCGCTTCTTAGTCCTCACTCTCGCACTCCTCTCTACTATCCTAACTCTCCCCTCCATAACTCTCGCCCACCCAGCCCTCGGCACAGAACATCTCCAGCTCCGCGGCCAAAGCACCATCACCTTCCTCAGCTCCATCTTCAACAATGGGATGAGAATTTTCAGGCTAGACAAAACCGTCCGCTACTTTACACCTGAACGTCTAGACGACGTCAAGAGTCGTTCCTCAGAAGCACTCCAAAGCCTCGATGAAGCCATAGCGACTGGAAAGGCTATCGGTCACTTCGATCCTGCAAGTAGTCATGCCATTGCTGCGCTGTGTATACCCCTGAAGGTGGTTTATGGAAACATGATTAAATCTATTCGCGATAAGGTATTACGGTTGTTTCCTTGACGCTTTTGTTGAGAAAAAAAAAGTATATTTTCCAATGCTAATGATCATCATCAACAGCGCGAGGAGCTAACCGCGGCGAAATACAAAGACGAGATGATAAAGACGCTAGTAGCTCTTCGGGTTAAGAGTCGGGAGTTTGCCGAACTGGTGAAGAAGATACTCACTGAGCCTGATGGGTCATATTGTCTGTATCTAGAAGATTTTGTTGATAAGCGGTATGCGAAGACGATTGATGAATACAAGGGAATCAATAGCGGTGATTCGGATGATGTGGAGGGGGATATCTGGAATGTGGAAGACTAGAGACTGGAATTGGTATGTGGGAACTGCCCATGGAGAGGTTGTCATCTGGAGGGCTTATTCGCATCTGAAAATGACATTGGATCTCACCAGCTTGATACATAACAAGGTGTTAGCGAGAAGCAAGTGCTTTGGACTACATGGAAAAAAGATGTCACTGTTTCATGCTAACTGACTCATGTATGCGTGCATAATTGGTATAGCTTGGACTGTGCAGCCGATTTCGGTCCTAATCATCGGCCATTAAACTTGGCCCAAAAATCCTAACCTACTGTGTAGTTCATGATGCTTTTCACATGATCCCCAAGAGCTCACTTCAAACTTTATTAAGTCCCAAAAATAGTCCTATACTATTAACCATCTCGTTCTCGCCCAAACTATGATGCGCAGATCCCAGCCACAAAATATGACGTAGCCACAGCAACACAGGCCAAACTCCGCTCACCGCCCAGTCACCGCCTTTTAATATACGGGAAAATTGCTGCCTACGTAGCGAAAAGTCTCGGCCGACGCATAGACCAACCACCACTGGCAAAAAAAAAAAAATTCACACAAAAAGTCAAACAGTCATAGAATTGTTGCCGTGGGATATCTACATATACACACAAAAAAAGTAAATATTAATCGGTAGTTGCGAATCATGAATGGCCCCGTCGATACGCCGAGAGCGCCCGTAAGGAAGATAGCCCGGGTTGCGAATTTCACCGAGCCGACCAACACATCAGGAGACAGATGTCGGTGTCAATTGAGGTGTTTATTTGTTGGCCAGGATGTAGCTATGACACGCGTCAGCTTTTGTTGTTTCCGGTTGGATGTAAGGCGGGAAGGAAAGGGCAGCAACACATACTAGGCGTGGATGACACCTGGTACCCAACCCAGGATACACAGACAGATGTTGATGAGGAGATCACAGCTGCATCCGGTGCGCATGAAAACACCCACGAAGGGGAGGAAGAAGGCGATGATGATTTCGCAGCAGCCGCTGTTGTGAGATATCAATTAGTATCATCTTCATAGAGAGTGTAACAAGTGAGTGCATACACTTTTCCGGGCATGATGGCGGTTTGTGTAGTGTGTTGATAGAGGTTCCTTGGGGAGATGGAAATTGAGCTTGTCTCGAGGATAGGAAAGTGAACAAAATTTCAGAGTCTGGACGATGAAGAACAAACAGATGGTGGACGATCAGGGGATTTAAAAAGATCATAAGGAACGAGGAGTTGTGACGTCACGCTTGATGCTGCGTAGGGCTGAAAGTGGAGCTGACTCGCACGCCGCGAGAATGAATGCCCATCAGGGATATGTCGATGACCATGTTTTGATGTAGCCTGATATTCTTGCGCAACCCTTGTCGATCCTGCGTCATGGTACCTTTATCTTTTCGCTATCAGTCTGTGTGGTTGTTTCATGGTATGTTGTGGCCTGACTCAAAACAATTGGTTAGCTGCGAACATCGGATTCCGCGTAGCTTTGCTCGGCCAATACAGACATTCAAATACGAGTACGAGGCATAATAGTGTATGCTGGCATGATCTCTTATTGGTTCGCTTGATTGACCCGCTATGGCTTATGCTCGTGGATAGCTTACGTAAGTATATATATGAAGTGCATAAATTCATGGATGACTATACGCTGTATTTTTAGCCCAAACCTTCCTGGCTTCGCGAGATCATCTTAAAGGGTATTTATAATACCGGCAAATATCTCATTCGATTTGGCTGCAAGGTACATTTAATACAAAGTGATAGTTGGTATCATGCAAAGGTGGGTCTTACTGCTCCCTACATCAAATATATATATTGTTGACCTAGTGTTTTGTTGCAGTTCCTAGCTCCAGTTAGGTGATATTTCAGCAGCTTCAATAAAACGTAACGTTCCAATGCCTTATGCGCGACTGTGGCATACTACAGATAAAGAAGCGACAAGGCCAGGGGCTTAGGTAGACCATTGAAATTAGGTTGCTTTGTCGATGCCAAGGCCAACCCACCCTGCCGGGTTCAACCTTTATCGCACGGGTTCAACTTTCATCACACGCGTTCCCAAGGAGCTGTCCAGGTTTGCGCCCCGCTTTCAAAGAGTATTTGGCAGCCTCAATTATAGCCTGATAACATTTTATTATACGCAAGAGACTTTACCGCTGTCTTCAGGAGCTGCAATAGGGTAAACTGTATAGAAAAGTAAATATTGTATGAGCTAGCTTCTAGTACTCTAGCTTTCGAGTCAAGATTGGGACACCGGTTTTGAACATGTATAAATACAAGCACTTAATTCACACGGCTTTCTTTGCCGCTTCTATATACCATATTGATAGTCAAACATGAACAGAGAATATACAGCCAAAGGAAATGCTAATAAATCAGATACAAAAGAGAGAAAGTCCAAGCGAAAAGGGATGCCCCACAAGACCAACGGCCAACCCATCCCATTTATTTGCTGTAGCACATAGCCTCAAGATCATCGCTATTCAGCACCCAAAACGGCCCGCTTTTGGTCCAGGCCCTTGACAGAATAGCCTCGTAAATAATAAACAAAAGAAAAGAAAAAAACATTGGAAATTGGAAATAAGAAAAATGTAAAAAAAGGAAAAAAAAAAACACAAAGAAAAGAAAGAAGGATGAGCAACGCCTTACACCCGGAAGTTCGACACTACTGCTCCACCTCGTAAACAAGCTTGAAACCGCTGACCTCCTTTCTGCGAATCATCTCCAATCCTTCTAGAATGCCGGGAAACCCGCCCGACATGACCTTAGCAGGGTGGTTCTTGAGATTGCCCTCGAGCAGGTGCTTCTGAGCGCCGGCGTAGAGCTCGTCAGCAAAGACACGCGCATCGGGGTCAGCGTCCCGCCCGTAGGGGGCCATCCAGGTACTGCCGCGACCCTTGACAGTGGAACCCAGGATCCAGTCGGGCTTGACAACCCTGCGAGTGGCCTGCGCCTCGGGGTAGGGGTCCAGCGCCGTGTAGCGACCGCCTGCGCGGCCAATGGCCTCGTAGCACAACTTCATGGACGAAGTGACGGTGATGCAGTCAATGGCGTAGGCCAGAGCGTTCTTGGTGTAAGACTTGATGTCCTTGGCGCAGTCGGCGGACCGGTAGTCAAAGGTCTTCTCGGCGCCGTAGGAGCGGACCAGCTCCTCGTGCGATGGCGAGCAGGTCGCGATGGGCCGGAATCCCGCCAGCTTGAGCAGCTGCAGGGCCATGGTGCCTGTCGAGGTACTACCACCGTTGACGAGCACGTAGGGCGGATTGGCGGCCGTGTTGGGCGCGGTCAATGACCCGGGCAGCTTCATGGAGCGAAACAGGGCAATGCCTGCGGACGACAGAGACGTGCCTATGCAAGCGGCATCGGTGAAGGACATGTCATCCGGCAGACGCAGAGCCTGGGTGGCCACGGTCGAGGCGTACTGGCAGAAGCCGCCACCGCTGGGCCTCTTACGGTCCATGCTGTCTGCGGTACCCAGTACCCGGTCTCCAACCTTAAGGTCTTGCCTAGTGACACCGGTGCCAATGGCCACGACGACACCGGCAAAATCGAAGCCGAGAATGGCGTCTGGCACAGCGAAGCCCTTGGCCATCTTGGAGTCGACGGGGTTGAGAGCCAGCGCGGCCGTCTTGACAAGCACGGAATCCGGCTCCAGGTCGATCACGGGCACATCGTGCGAGATGCGAAGAGTGCCCTCTTCATCAGCAGCGATGATAGCGGTCTGCGTCTTGGGGATTGGGGCGTGCATTGTGAGGGATGATGAGGCAGGTGGCGCTGTTGGTGATGGTGGTGGTGAAGTTGCTGCTGTTCGCTTTTGTTGTTGTTGTTGTTGTTGTTGTTGTTGTTGTTGATACACCCGGGTGAGAAATATAAGGATGATTGGAAATGACAAGAAAATGGGAAGAAAGAGAGAAAAAAAAGTATAGGAATGGTTTGTAGTCGTCGTAAACCCGCGACAGTATTAAACTCGTACCTAATGTCTTCATAACAACAATATCGACATGATTTTTCTTCACGCGGTCGCTGTCGACATCAAGATCTATATACACGGGCGCGATCTCGCACAAATCTGCCTCGAGGGTGGCTGAGATGGGGATGAGAGAGCAACATCTTCTCTCTTCTGGGGATTGGCTTGCGAGGTTACCATCACCGTCTCGTTCGACTGTCGCATTCGGGGCACTTTGCTCTGGGCAAAGAAGCCCACATTCCCATTACGGCAAGGAAAGAGATGGCCGCTCGTATTGGTAAGGGAAAGGATGAAGCGTTTGTCTCAAAGAAGAAACCAGATGTTAGGGCGGGAAAATCACCCATATCGGGTATCCGGGGAGGCAAGCATTAAAGAGCGGCGAAGGGAGCGTTGGGTGATGGATTGACCGCTAGCGTGAAGGCTTAATTTCCGTCATCTACTTTTATAATCAGCGCTTGCGACCACCTCCATCCCGTAGGATTTGGCCCCAAAAGATCCCGTAGGATTTGGCCTCACCAATCCCGTAAATTCGTTACGTCCGTATGTATGTGTATCCTCACTATATCCAAAAATGCTGGTGTTCTTGTGGCGTTTCTTTCGACCCTTGGCGTGGTGTGCCGAGCATCTGCCAGCCAGTGAACGATTTCGCGGCGTGGCAGAGGCACGGTTCGGATCTACCCTTGATGCTTAATCGTACATACAGCGCCAGCCGGAATTTCTCGCCAAGACTACATTACATCTTATCCTCCAGGACCATGCTGCTACAGGACGATGCTACGGCATAAGGCTCCCCAACTTGAAACTTGAGAATACATGCAGTTGTATCTGAAACCCCAACCACAGCCGTCGCTCGCCCATCTGCCGCTGTAGTAGTGTCTTCGTAAGACTGGCGGGTGTATGATTGTGAGGGATCATAATTGGCCCCCAATTACACCTTCTATCGTGCGACTAGAACTTCCGATATTAATCAATGTTCTATAGGGCCTTGTCCACCGCCGCCACCAAGAAAAACAAGCGAAAATCCTCCTGGTCGTTTATCTATGAAGGTCGTATTCTGCAAAAAACCCTATTCGCTGGCTCTTCCTCGTGTTCACTATCTGACCCCACTTTCGCTGGTCCCATGGGGCCAAAAAGTCAGGGCCAAGGCGAGATGTCTCAACTAAGGCGAGAGGGCTGAGTCAAGACGAAAAATTCGCGTGGGCCGGTGCCCTGCGTCCTGCCGGGTGATGGTGCGACTGAAGAAGCTGACAAGCCTAACGTAGGATTGCCTCGTGGATTCCTCTGACTCCATCGCCGAACCGCAGGGACTCCACAAGCCAATCCGAGACCATGTGTCAGCTGCACATGGTACTGTGGGTCTCTCAACATCACATAAACCGGATTGGGAAGCTCTGAAAGAGGTCGGAGTTAAGGAAGCAAGTTCACCATGTACTAGAACTATCTACTGATACGAGTATCCGTGGCTCAGCAACGATCTGTGGGGATGTGGAGGCACGGATACGGGAATAACAGATCGGTGGATACAGGTATCATCTACATACTGTCCAATGATACTTCCTGGGCCAGTGCTTTCCTCATCGGGATACCACTTCCACCATCAAAGGAATCCCGACGGAATGTCGAGAGTTCTTCACATCATGGCGAGAGGATGGCTTTGGTTTGCTGGATAAGGACCTGATCGGAAGCTGTCAGGTTTAAACATAAAACCCTTCCCACATGGCATCTCAGCTCGATTGTCGATCTTGATTGTCACTACTCACGGGCTTCAGTCCTTTCCCTTTCATTCAACATCATCTGGTCTGATACCTGTACCAAGTCTCACCAGATCTACCAAGTCCTACCCATTCTTTACCAGGTCTTTTGAGTTGTTTGAACACCAAGTCTTACCAAGTCTCTTTTAATCTTTTTAATCCGAGTCTAGCTATACTCCAATATCTTTGATTCTATTCGATTCAATTACCAGGCAAGTCAAGCAAAATACACACCCCATCTGTACCATTATTGTCCCATCACCCCCGTGAAAATGTCTGCTTCCAAGAACGAGCCCATTGCCATTGTTGGCAGCGCCTGTCGCTTCCCTGGGGATGCCACATCTCCTTCCAAGCTATGGGAGCTGCTCAAGGAGCCCCGTGAGGTCGCCCGGCCTATCGACCGTTTTGCGGCCTCAAGCTTCTATCACCAGAATGGTCACTACCACGGTGCTAGCAACGTCCGCGACGCGTACCTCCTTTCCGAAGACCCCCGCTACTTCGATGCCCAGTTCTTCAACATTCCCCCTGGTGAGGCCGACTCCATCGACCCCCAGCAGCGCACCGTCCTCGAGACTGTGTATGAAGCCGTTGAATCCTCTGGCCTGGTGCTCGAGGACATGCGCGGCTCAGACACGGCTGTCTACGTCGGTGTCATGTGTGACGATTACGGCAATATTTGCTACGTCGACCAG